AGAATTGGGTTTGGTATGTTGCCTATGAAGTGTGGTGTATGCCATACTCATTGAGTAGTGTTCCCCCAATCCTAAATTGATATGGAAAAAAAAAGTATCTGAGCACTCATTGAGTCTTTGCTATTTAAATATAATTCATTAGTTGTCTAAGCATAAGTATTATTCTGCTATGATGATGCTTCCACCATTTCTCTGAATATATAGAATTGGGTTTGGTATGTTGCCTTTGAAGTGTGGTGTTTATGCCATACTCATTGAGTAGTGTGCCCCCAATCCTAACTTGATATGGAAAAAAAGCTATCTGAGCACTCTTAGAGTCTTAGTCTTTTACAGTTTCAGTTTGTGTGATTGTGTCAATTCTAACTAACTACAAATGTTTTGAACTTATTGTGTTTTTATGTGGTCACTTATCAGGAAGAAGAATAGACATAGGGTACTCTATATTATATTAATCATATATTCATATATTGCTTTTGGAGTTTTGGATATCTGGCTTTCTTTTGCTGATGTGCTGACTGCTGATTTGAGAGTGGAGACTGATGCAGTGCTGCTGTTGCAACTTGCCTGCTTGGAGTGCTTGCTAGTTGCTATAGACAATTATAATTCTCTTTAATTTTGTAACTTCTAACTTTCTAAGTTGTAACTAATCTGTTGAATGTAGATTATATGTAAGCTAATTTGTATTTTGCTCATTATATGTTTACACTTTTATAGTTTTATAAGTTTACTTAAATTATTTACTTAATTTTGTTGTTAAGTAGTTAGTAATTACTAGTTAGTGGCTTTTAGTACTTAAGTAGTTCATTAGTTAGGTACTTAGGTGTTCCATCATCCATGAATAATTGAATTTTTTAAATTTTTTACATTGTCATAAAACCGATTTACAACTCGGATATCCGACCGATCCGAACCAATCCGAAAATAACTATAACCGATCGGATTGGTCAACAAAAAAAAACGGTTAGGGTGAGCAAAAGACAAATCCGAAATCCGGCCGGGGGTCTCATTCCGCAATCCGAACCGTCCGATCCGTCCGACTGCACAGCCCTACCGCCGATGCTATTATGCTGGGTTCTTCGTTGGCAGACCGTGCTCTTTCTCTTCAATACTGTCGCTACTATTACGCCTATGAGTAGAAAATCGCAGCCATACGGTAGGGTTCTTTGTCGTAATTTATAATCGCAGTGTTTATAATTTGGGGAAAATCGCAGTGTTCCTCTTCGTAGGGTTCTTCGTCGCAATTTGCAGTGTTTCACTAATTTGGGGAAATTCGCATGTTTAGTTCATTAGGGGAAATTAACTGTTTTAGTTAATTAGGGGAAAATCTCCAGTTTAGTTAATTTGGGGTTTGTCAAAAAAAAAAAAAAGTTAATTAGGGGAAAATAGCGGCTGGTCAAAGGTTTAAACAATAAAACATATAAAATGTATGTTTTGCCATTCTTTTTAACGGTATGTTAATGTCAAATCTATCGGAGATCATTTTGGCTTAAAATTCAATATTCGGAGACTACTTTGCTTACAATTAAAATTCAAGGAACCAATTTGAGAAATGACTATATTAAAATTTAAGGAACTAATTTAAGAAATGACTATAGTCGGAGGAGTATTTTGGACATTTTCTCTTTCATTGAATAATTGGACAGTCATTTTTTAATTTACGTTATAAGCCTATTTTTTTGTTCACGTTATAGACTTAATTTTATTGGCTCTTATTAGTATGATTAGTTAGTACACGCGCATTGCGCGATTATACAATGCCCAATGTGTATTTATAAATTAGTGTTCTTTAATTGGTTAAAGTATTCATATAATAATGAGAGAGATGAATATGAAATTAATAAAAGATAAAGAAATAGTTTGTGTGCTTATATTTGAATAAAAAGATAAAGAAATTCGAAATAGCTAAATTATAACTAAAGTGAAAACAAAGAAACCACTAACTAAAACTGAATATCTATCATGAAAATAGTAATTTTGGCATAGTAAATTAATTTTTCTTAGTGCGCGTTTGTTTAGGCTCGGAATTGTCTTCATCTTCTCCATCTTTAGTAAAGTTGTTCTTCCTTAATTAACCAGTTAAACCCAAGTACCACGAAGCTTCTTACCCATCTCAAATTACACTTTTAGCCCTCAACACCAAAACCCCTTATTATCCCATTTGACCCGTCCATAGCAGCAAATTTCCCTTTGGATCATCATTCTTTGATAATCAAGTCTCTTATTTCCACAAAAAAAAAAAAAAAAAACAAAAACAAAAAAACAAAAAAACAAAAAAACAAAAAAAAAACCTCTCAATTCTTCGTTACTGTTCAAATTAAAGACGCGCGTTGCGTGATTAGACCAATGCCCAATGTGTATTTTTAAATTACTGTTTTATAATTGTGAAACATATTCATATAATAATGAGAGAAATAAAAATGTTAAAATCTGTAATAGTATACATTTTACTGTTCAAGGCATAGTAGGGCAGTGCAGATGTGGTGATTAAATTGTAGAAATACTTAAACAATTCTGAAATTTTACATAGTAAAGATGGACTAATATTGTCCAAATTCCAAGTGATAATTTTTTATTTGATTTCACTTTTTTTTTTTTTTTTTTTTTTGTTTTTCCCATTGGAATGTTGATTTTCACACAAATTAGGCACATATATTCATATATTGTTACTATAAGGATATTCAATAAGAATTAAATGGTAAGTTACTCCATAAAGCCACAAATATCGTACTCAAAAAATATATGTATCTCCTTCTAAACTACTATTTTTGAGATGCGATGTATGAAATTGTCTACATAATAAACCCTTTGGTGTTTTATTTAAAGGCAACATATATATACATACACAAACTAAACCCCACTTTCTTATATACTTATATAAGTTAACAATGCTGCTATGAAGAATTGTTGAGTCAATTATTGTCGGACATCATAGATTTGATAAAATTGGTGGTGATTTGATCTTGATTACCTAGAAGAGAAAAAAAGAGGTGAGCATTAATTGCAGATATCAAAATCACTGGTCATAATAATGTTTAGAAGTTAATAACAAGCATTTTGCCTGATGAAGTGCAGAATTAACTTATTCTAAATTTATATAAGACAATTTTATATAATAATAATAATAATAATAATAATAATAATATGACCAGTGATTACTTTCTCATCATAAGTAAGCATTTAAAAGACTATCTTTTCCTAATCATAATTAAAAAACATTAAAAAATTCATCACAATATGACCTGAACCCATAATCTCCAAAAAGGAATCATGAGTAAACAACATTAAAGACATAGTAACTTGGCGAACAAAATATTCTCAAACTATTAGGAAATGATCCAGAACTAAAAAAAAAATGCACAAGAATTTGCGTTAGTACTTGCAAAAGCATTCATAAGAATCATCAAATTTGGTTGCTACTGCTTTAGCTAGACAGGTATATACTACATAGTTTGAACATTGGGCCACAAAAACTATGAACCACACACAAACTAATAAAATAAAGTTTGGAAACACCATAAATAAAACTGGTCAGTTGAAATTCATAAGGAAATTTCTCTAATAGCTCCACTAAAACCTCCAAGTTATCAAAATTAAAGCTGGAAACTTAAACAGCAGAATCAATGAATTAATGGAAATGCTTCTAATAATCTAACAAATAAATATAAGGAGTTCCACAAGACGGTAAGCCGCAAAGATTCCACATAAAAACAATGAACGAAGACACCTTAAAAATAACTAAGAAATTAACTCTTAGAAAAACAATGCTTAAAAATAAATTAATCTAGCCTTAATAGGAAGGTACCATATGTTTCGCAGGAAGCAAAATAAATTAATCTAGCCTTAATAGGAAGGTACCATATGTTTCGCAGGAAGCAAAATAAATTAATCTAACCTTAATAGGAAGGTACCATATGTTTCGCAGGAAGCAAGCAAGCACAAGGAATCTGTGAACAACTTAATCTAGCCTTCATAGGAAGTAAGTCAACAACATAAATGATCTTTCATCCATTTTTCACAATTCAATTAGTAGTCAAATTCACCGTGAGAGATTGAATTAACAACACTATGCACAATCAATGGACCAAACATGTTCATGAAATTGAAGGATATGAACCAAATTTCATGAAGAACAATCAAGAGATCAAAATGAATTTTACCCAACATACTTAACATTACAGTGTCTGAGTTCAGAGTTCATACTCATGCCAGTTATGTGACTGCAACAAAGATTATAGGTATACAACACATTTTGTGGAAGAAAAAAAAAACAATTGGAAAAGGAAGTTTATAAATTTAAAAGATAATGAGCATAAGATAAACCAGTTATATAAAGCCCACTTTGTGATTAATCCAATTCATCAGCTTGTCTTGCCAAGGGCAGTAGTAGTTATGCAAATTTAGTTAATTCCTGCTATGGATCTGAATCAATTAGGCCATAATACTATTGTATTACCAAAAGGGAGGGGGGAGGGGGAAGGGGGGCAATTCGATCATAAACATCAACATGATGAAATGTTCAATCGGCTCAAACCATGCCAATAAGATCAATAGATTGCTCCCGTTGAGAGTTTCAATATTAAGTTTGCCTTCTTTATATAAAGAAAATTTATCAAATGAGAACAGTAACTTAGCATCTAGCATATGAAAATCTATAGAAGTTTGGTCACAGTTTTTAAACTAATTTAAGTTAGAGCAATTCTTTTCAGAGGCAAACAAGTAAAAAAAAAAAATGCACTTCTAGGAGCAGGGCCATACCAGACGCAAAGAGACCAAATCCGCTTTCCTTTCGCTTTAGCTTTGATTCTCCTCACCAAGTAGTCGCGGACGGCTGTGCTTCTCTGATTCTCCTCACCAAGTAGTCGCGGACGGCAGTGCTTCTCCGAGCTTCTCCGAACTGCGGACTGCTGTGCTTCTCTGATTCTCCTCACCAAGTAGTCGGGGATGGCTGTGCTTCTCCGAGCTTCTCCGAACTGCGTACGGCTGTGCTTCTCTGATTCTCCTCACCAAGTAGTCGGGGATGGCTGTGCTTCTCCGAGCTTCTCCGAACTGCGTACGGCTGTGCTTCTCTGATTCTCCTCACCAAGTAGTCGGGGATGGCTGTGCTTCTCCGAGCTTCTCCGAACTGCGTACGGCTGTGCTTCTCTGATTCTCCTCACCAAGTAGTCGCGGATGGCTGTGCTTCTCCGAGCTTCTCCGAACTGCTGCCCTAATTCCGCTGGATTCTCCTTAATCGCAGTCTGATGTACTTCTCGTAATTGCCATTCAATTTCACGAAAATTTCAAATTTGCCACCGCACAACTTCCTTTGACAGAGCTGTTAAATTTAATAGCGTAAGTTTAGTAAAATTAAGAAGAATGAGGTTAAATTAGAATTTTAAGTTGACATTGTACAATTAGAAAAGGGCAAAGTACAATTTTGTTGAGCATGTGTTGTACCGATATTTTTTTTATTCCCGTTAAGGGTCTAACAATATTTGCTCTTATTAAAATTGTATATATATATATATATATATATATATATATATTATTTGGGTGTCACGAGCATAGGGTCAACTCCAGCCTCCAGGGTGCTGCATGTCATGCCCTCGCTCAAACCGATAAGCATTATGACTTTTTTTTTTTTTTTTAGAACAAAAGCATTATGACTTGTGTGTAACAGTTTGTGTTTCAGTGCTATAAATTGATTGGTAAGCACAACGTTTCAAGAATTTTTTTTCCATACACATTTCAATGGTTAGTTTTGAGTAGGTATTAGATGAAATTTTGTGTCAGACAATTTATACAATGAATCTTGATTTATATTGCAATGTGAATTACTGATAAATGTTTATTTTTAATATACTGAAGATTCATTATTAATGTATTGAAAGTTCATTTTAGATAATATACAAAAAATAAATCTTTAAAAATCAAACATTTAATATATTAAAAATGAATTTTAGGTTAGTGGTTGACTTTGACCCATGATATAATGATCGCAAATTATTCTGTTGACCCGGTCCAAATGTTTATAATTTACATATTAAATGTTCACAATTTATCTTTTTAAAAATTCATAATTTGTATACTACGAACACACAATGTTAACATATATGTAATTGACTAGTTTTTCTACGCGCTTTGCGCGAATGGAATAATGCTCAATAATTATTTTTAAATAAGTATTTCAAAGTATATCAATGTAATATTATATAGGAGATGTTCATGCATAGGTAAATAAATGTTGAATTTGTTTATTTAAATCAGTAATTTAAAGTATATAAATGCAAGATAATATATGAGAGATTGATTATAATTGCCACTAAAATAAATGATTGCAACTTTGTAATAACGCTAGTCCAAATACTTAGTCTAAAAGCGATAGTCTAAATAAATACTACTTTTGATTTAAATTTCTCTAATTCTCTTTTGGGTAGCATTATCATTATCTTCATCTTCGGTACTTGTCCTCTTTTTTATTTTTGTTTTTGTTTTTTTTTTATTGGTAGTGTGTCATGTGCAATTAGGTTATTGGTGGTAGCATAGAGTGATACATCATGTAATGAGATTATTGTGTAGGAAGCTTTAGATTTGCTTTGCTGTATATATGACTGTGATCTCAGTTGTACTATGAACTCTTTATCTTACAAGCACCCATTGATATTTGGTAGTGGTAGATTTTCCTCTACATGTTTCATGTGTTGTAAGATGTGTATCGTAGGTTATCATGTGAAAATAGTGAACAAAATATTAATATTTATTATATTTGTATAAAATACTTGGTAAATCCATATATAAATCTTTGAATTGTAGAAAATAAAGATAATATAACTAATAAAATTATATCTCTTTTTAATTTTTTATAATGAATAATTTTTTTAAAATAAAGGCATTATAGACATCTAATTTTAAATTAATTAAATCTATATGTATTATTTTTTGTTGTAGCTACTAATTTATTTATTAATAAGAGTAATAAAGTGACGTATATACTTTTCATCAACAATAATGAAATATAATCATTGATTTTTTTAATTTCCATTCGTTGTTGAGACAAATTATTTTGAGAGTTTGTCAATGACAATTACTACGATTGCTGTCAATTGATAATAAATAATTCAAAATATATGGTCATAATAGATATTGTTATAATGATATAGTAAAAATAAAATTAAGTTATAAATTTCTTTAGAAGTTTTCATGCATTGATAATATTTTGATGTGTAAACTTATTCAATTGGGGCCAGTGGGATGTCAACATTGTCAATTTTTTAAAAAAATAGTCGTACCGTTTTAGAGTCCATGTGTAATTGTATTTATGATCAACAACTTTGTAGTTAGGTCGTGCAAGTGTGACAATGATGTAAGAATAATTTTGTCCGATAAAAAAAATAATAGTATAATATTTGTAAAGTAATGTACAATTGTACCATTATAAAATTACATACAAAAAATATTAATACCATAATGACCTAAATCATTACAATAATGCAAAAGCATAATTGAAATATTAAGTTTTGTTCTAAATAATCAAAGAAGATTAATTAAACGAAAAAAGAAAAAAAAAACTTAACCTAATTTTTTTTTAATTCAAGAAAATCAAATGATTTGTAAAGTTCATGAATTATAATCTTTGATGCTCAACTTTGAATGCTATGTATATAGTCGGGCTAATTATTTGACCAAAGTTTATGTTAAATTTTATATTATATATATATTTTTAATACGTTTTAACATATTCGTAATATATGTTTAACAATTATGCCAACTCGAATTGTGACAGGGTTCGAACCTATGACATTTTTATAGAAATTAATGAGTAAGTTAAGAATTATAAATAGTTAACGGAATATTCCGTTACTAAACCTTATACTAACGAAATTTAGGGTTATTTAAGGGAAGAAATTAATATAATAAAGAGTAAATAAGGAAAATCATTAAATAATACTCAAATCAAAATAATATGAACCATTCATTTTAAGAAACAATTACACTGACATTTTTTTTGTTCCAATTAAAGACCTAACATTATTCGCTCTTATTAGATTTATATTATTTAAGATATAGATATAGATTGTAGATGTAGATGTAGATTACCTTGTATTGTATTCACAAGTTCCTTTCAAATAATGAAGTCATATAATATTAACATATTAGAATTTGATGACCCTTTATTGTATTTACAAATTTCCTTCTACAGATATTATGTGTGTTGCTTGAAAACACAATTTATATTCTTGAAGTTCACAATCCAATACTAAAAATACACAATTTATACGTCGTTTAGGACTAGAGTCCACCTTGAAAGGTGACCCTGGTCCATGGTATAACAACTAGCAAATTAAATCGTGGACCAGGGTCCACGATGCACTGTGGACCCTGGTCCAATACACAGAATGTGACTTCATAATGCACATATTTCATTTCATAATGCACATAATTCATGCATTATGAACATGTATTATGTACATTATGAACATGAATTTTGTGTATTATGTTAAGTGTTTATGTGTCCCCAGTTATATAATACACAAAATTTTTCATGTTCATAATGCACATAATTAATGTTCATTATATCGTGATTTATTGTATGTGTATTATGAACATAGATTCTGTGCATTATGAACATGAATTATGTACATAATGAATATACATTATTATTATTATTATTATTATTATTATTATTATTATTATTATTATTATTATTATTATTATTATTATTATTATACCCTTAGGTCATTTTAAATGTTAATTTAAACAGCTAATTTTTTCAAATATCTTTTTACCAACCGTTGATATAATTAGATGGTCAAATCCGCTAATATAATTCGCTAACGCTAACCGCTAACTGCTGATTGTCAAACAAGGACATTGCGAGGTAGTTTCTCACTTCAATTTGTTGTGTGATTTGAATACTCTCGTTGTCAACAAATCCCTCAAGTAGTTAATATAATTGGCTTTATTAATTTAATTTTTTAAATTTTTTTCATGGTATTAATAAAATACTTGGTAAATAAGTATATAGCATTATTTTGTATTATAACTTTGATATTTAATTAAAAACTAGTGCACAAAAAAGATAATAGACAATGTAGTGAATATAATCAATTGATGAATTTGAATGTAAAGAATTTTTACATTGGAGAAAAATAAAGACAATATAACTAATGAAATTATTTCTCTTAATTAATTTATTGATAATGAATGATTTTTTTTAATAAAAACATTGTAGGGACAATGTAGCAAATATAATTAATTGATGAAATTGAATTTTGAATTTTGAATGTAGAGAATTTTTATATTAGAGAAAAATAAAGACAATATAACTAATGAAATTATTTCTTTTATTATTATTATTATTATTATTATTTTTGAAAACCAAACAACTCTGGTATATTAATGAATGAAAGGAATAATAGAGTCAAGAGGGACAAAGTCCCAATACATAGGTTGATCCTGATCGAAAGCTAACGAAGCTAAGGTATGAGCATGTAAATTGAAAGTTCTAGAAATATAATTTAAAGAACAGCATGTAAATAACGACATAGATGTCCTGCACTGGTCCACAATTACTCCAACGTAGGACAGAGTAGCCATGCGGCTTGAGTGTAACATGTTTCGTAGCTCCATGCAATCCGTAACAAGGACAAATGTCAATATATTTCGGTCTTTAAGCCACGAGAGGGCTTCCTTGCAAGCCAGTGCCTCTGCCATAAGAGGTGAGAATGCACTTGGGAGGTTGCCAGATTTTGCTGCTATAAATGACCCATCGTGACTCAGAAGCACAACTCCATACGTCGCTTCCCTCGTGGGTTGCTTGTAGCCGGCATCTAAATAACACCTGGGTCGATGATGCGTCTCGTCGACTGGCGTGACCGTGGAAGAAGCCTGACGCAAACTGCGATTTACTTCGATGTATGTTCTCTCGGCCCTTGCTGCCGCCGTGACTGTCCATCCAGACCGTGGAAGAGCCTTCTCCCAAACAACTGAGTTTCGGGCTTTCCACAAGTAATATAATACGCCAACTGCAAGTCTTGTCTGATCCTCCGTCAAAATATTCAATACGCCTACGAGCCATGATGAGAAGAAATTAGTTAGGATATTCGTGACATGTAATCCCGAAATATTCCAAACCATCTTAGAATAATCACATAGAATCAAAGCATGCATAACATCCTCATGTGCCTGCCCACACATTGGGCATGTAGGATCCACTTGCACCCTCTTTACAATCAGATTATTAGTGGTGGGAAGTATGTCACATATAGCTCTCTGCAAAAAAGTCCTCCATTTAGGTGGTACCTTTAATTTCCATAATGTAACCCATCTATCAAAAGCACCTGGGTTATCAAAAAATTCCCCCATAATATGTCTATAGGCATTTTTTACTGTGTACATCCCTTTTGGGTCTCCCACCCAATACCATGAGTCCTCATAATCTGGGCTTACAGGTATCCTGGTAATCCGCCAATATCCTCAGGAATAAACAAATCAGAGAGAATATGTGGATCCCAGGTATTCGTGTTTTGATCAATTAGGCCAACCACCAATGCTTCCCTTAATTCATTAGGCATGAGTGTTTGAACCAAAGGGCTGGGGTCATCTGGTAACCAAGGGTGACCCCATATTAATGTCGCCCTCCCATCTCCAATCCTCCGGCGTACCCCAGAACAGACTAGATCGTGCGCCGCCATAATACTTCGCCAGCAGTAGCTTGGGCAATTTTCTACAGTAGCATCAATAAAGGTGGTCGTAGGATAATACCGAGCTTTATAAATTCTCGCTGCTAAAGTGGTTAGATCAGTAAGAAATCTCCATGCCTGTTTCCCCAGCATAGCCAGATTAAATGCACGTAGGTCCTTAAAACCTAACCCACCATACTTCTTAGAGACACACAATTTATCCCAAGCTTTCCAATGAATTCCACGATCCGCGCCACTTCCCCACCAAAATTTATTCATAGTTCGCTGAATAGATAAACATACGTCTCAGGCAGCAAAAAAACACTCATGGAAAATGTAGGCATAGATTGGGCCACACTTTTCAAGAGCAATTCCTTACCTGCTTGTGTGAGTAACTTTTTATTCCATGAACCAATTCTTTGTCTGATTTTATCCTCCACATAAGCAAACATAGCCCTTTTATTCCTTCCTACAAAAGATGGCAGCCCAAGTATTTCCCAAAATTGGATGCATGTTCCACACCCAGGCAACACGCCACTTGTTCCCTATGCACAACCTGGGTATTTCTGCTAAAGCAAATATTTGATTTAGTAAAATTCACAACCTGCCCAGACAACTTCTCATATCTAATCAGACATTGCTTAATAACAGTTGCTTCCTGAATATTCGCTTTAAAAAACAGCAAACTATCATCCGCAAAAAATAAATGTGAGACCGGTGGTGCCCCTCTAGCTACTCTACACCCATGTATAGCTCCATCCATCTGTGCCTTTTGTAAAAGCATTGAGAGACCTTCTGCACAAATAATAAATAAATAGGGTGAAAGAGGGTCTCCCTGTCTGAGCCCACGAGTGCCCAGGGGGTCCGAGCAACTAGAATTACTAGAGGAAAAAATATTCCTATAACAATCCAAGATGACTGAATTCATACCATCCCCTTCAACCCACACCCCATCATTATTCTTAATATGTACGATTAAATTCTTTTTCCTACGAGCAGAGGCATACATGTGGTAAAATTTCGTGTTGGCATCTGCTCCCCGGAGTCAGTGCTGTTTTGCCCGTTGTCTCCAAAACACATCCTCCTGGGCCTCCAGCTGGTTCAGCTGATCATCAATTTGTTGGAACTCGGCCATTGCAGCCGGGTCCCTTCGGCTTCGGATAGTCTCCTGGCGCCGTCGTAGCTGGTCAATACGTTCCCCAAACTTATGAAAACGATCGCCACCCCATCGCATTAACTTCTCCCACAATACTGCTGACAACCTAGCAATCCCTCTGTCCATCCATCCTGCCAGGCAGACACAACCACATCCATGCACCCTTCATCCAAGAGCCAGGCCATCTCAAACCTGAAACCCCTCGGGTTCCTTCCCCCCTGACATGGATATTGCATTAATGTTGAGGAAAAGAGCCGAGTGATCCGAAGCTCGAGTCCAAATATTTTCTACCCATGCATTCTCATTCATATTACACCACTCTACCGTTGCCAATAATTTATCAAATCTTTCCTCAATCCAATTCTGTGTGCCCCTACCCTTCTCCCATGTGAACTGGTGCCCTCTCGTGGGCATATGCGCCAACTCACATCCATCAATAGCCTCCCCAAAATCGCGAAAGAGATTATCAGGATACAGATTACCCCCTTTATTCTCGTGCTGGAATAAGAGATTATTAAAATCTCCCACCACCACCCACGGCAGTGTGGATCTGCCACCTAACGTGCGTAACAAATCCCAGGAATCTTTCCGATTTTGGCGTTTCGGAAAGCCATAAAAGCACGTCATACGCCACAACTTGCCATTAATATTAACTTCCACATCCACATGGTTCTTAGAATAACTCAACAATCTCGCCGTATTATTCCTTTTCCAAAAGAGAGCCAGACCACCACTCAAACCATCGTTATCAACATAAAAAAAAGTCCTTCATAACCAAGATTGACACGGATTCGCTCTGCATGTATCTGCCCCACCTTGGTTTCCATTAAGAACAAGAAATCAGGCTTCTTACGGGACCCCAGGTCCACTACCTGTCGAACTGTTCATGGATTACCCAAGCCACGATAGTTCTAACTTAGCGTACTCATGATGACGGGCGGGGATGAGAAACAGCTCCCGCCATGGACAAGTTTTTTGAACCCTTCGCAATAATCACGTCCCTATCATCCTGCTCCATACTCGGACTCTCGCTCGTGATCTGCAGGCGACGTTTTCTGGTAGCCTCAATCTGCTCTCCGCCCGTCGCCCTAATTTGCATGGGCACGCCGTGAATCAGCGGTACAGTCGTCGCACCAGACGCCACAGTCCCGGCCTCCAACGGACGCGGCTTCCCGCCAATCGGCACAAGCCAGCTATCCCCAACCGCTCTAGGAGCGCTCCGGGATCCATCAGCCCGCATATCCGGCCCATACGGGTACCGTTCCAATGGAATACGAGCGTCTCTTGCCTTGATACAAAAGGTGTGCAGATGTCCCATTATACCACAGAAAAAGCAGAACTTGTGCAACCGTTCGTAACGAAAGGTTACCCAAGCCGTAGTCTTATTCCTTTTCAACAGCTTCATCCGTCTTCGTAGCAATTTATCAACCGGAATAGAAACCCTAATACGGTGGAAAGTTAGCCACGTGGCCCCTTCAAATCGATCATCATGTTTGACAAAAGTGCCTAGGAAATTTCCAGCCTGCTCTAAAATAGATTGAGACGTATACCCCAGCGGCATATCGTGCAACTGCACCCACATGTCAATTGTATCCAGCGACACCTCCCCCGGGATTGCGTTAGCCGCAACTTCTCAACATACCAAGGCATTATTCTCAAAAGCCCAAGGACCACCATTCAAGACATAGTCCACGTCCGTTCTATGGAAGAAGACAAACAAGAACACGCCCCTCTGGATCTCTGTAACCTGAACCCCCCTGACCGGTTGCCACACGAATGCTAAGACATGTCGCATGAACTGAAGTTTAACCATCTTTTGCGTGAGAAACCTCCCGACCACCCTCCAGGTTTCCTCCCCGGCGTTCCCAACACCCTCTCCGGTTGGTGCGAATGTCGTCTCCTCCTCCTCCAAAGACCACTCCGCCCACTATTCGGTCACTGCCGGAACTTCATCAATCAGCGCTGGGCTAGTACTCGGTGCCATCATCTGCTGCGTTGCCATTGCGTTGTCGTAAAGCCAGTTAGCTACCACCGGCAGTCGCCGGAAACAAGTATAGTAGCGAAAACCTAGGATAAACCGTAGTACAGAGGCAAAAACCCTATAGAGCCTAGAGAGAGAATTCTGTAAAAACAATTCTATTACTCTTATTTAATTTATTGATAATGAATATTTTTTTTTTTTTGAATAAAGGCATTGTAGACACATAATTCTAAATTAAAGAAATGCATATGTATTATTTTTTGTTGTAGCTATGCTACTAAATTATTATTTAATTTAATAAGAGTAAAATAGAGTACTAATTATGCCAACTTTGATTGGGATGTGGTTCGAACCTAAGACCTTTTTTTATTGAAATCAATGAATAAGTTAATGGTGAACTAACAGAAATAAACGGAAAAGATAATGTTTAACGGAAAAGTTAACGGATAATCATATTCATTAAGGATAAATTAGGAAATCTCAAGGAAAAAATTAAAATTTGATCAATGTGAACCATTCATTTGATTAAAAAATTTGACCGCCATTTTTTCTACCCATTATAGGCATAACTCTCTTGGACTCTTATTAGTATATATATATATATATATATATATATATATATATATATATATATATATATATATATACATACTAGTTTTTTATGCGCATTGCGCGATTGCGATAATGCCTAATTTATTTTTTTTTAAATAAGTACTTTAAAGTATATCAAGGCAAGATTATATTGGAATTGTTCATACATAGATAATTGAATGTTAAATTTGTGTATTTAAATAGGCAATTCTAAGTTTACAAATGCAAGATAATATAGTCAAGATTGATTATAATTGTCAATAAAATAATTGTATATGTATGGTTGAAATCAAATACGGGATATAAGGGAGGGCAAATAAAAATTAGGACATAAAATATTAAATATATACTAATATTGAAGAGCTAACTGCTGATTGTCAAACAAGGACACTTCAATTTGTTGTGTGATTTGAATACTCTTTTGTCAATAAATCGCCCAAGTAGTTAATATGATTGGCTTAATTATATTTTTTTTATTTTTAAAAACAATTATTATTATTATTATTATTATTATTATTATTATTATTATTATTATTATTATTATTATTATTATTATTATTATTATTATTATTATTTTATTATTATTATTATTATTATTATTATTATTATTATTATTATTATTATTATTATTATTATTATTATTATTATTATTATTATTATTATTTTATTATTATTATTATTATTTTTTATTATTATTATTTTATTATTATTATTATTATTATTATTATTTTATTATTATTATTATTATTATTATTATTATTATTATTATTATTATTATTATTATTATTATTATTATTATTATTATTATTATTATTATTATTATTATTATTATTATTATTATTATTATTATTATTATTATTATTATTATTATTATTATTATTATTATTATTATTATTATTATTATTATTATTATTATTATTATTATTATTATTATTATTATTATTATTATTATTAT